CCTCCGCAGGTCGTGCCGGGGCGAGCTGAGCCTGCCCGGTGCCTCCCGGCTCCCTGGCGCAGGCAGGGGACAGGCAGGAATTGCTGACCCCACAGCCGACCCCCACCTCAGCCCCAAGCTCTTCACCAAGGGAGGGACGCAGCGCAGTGTTTTAGGGGGCGAGCAGGCAAAGCAACACCCCCCCGGCACCCACAGCGCCCTGCCCACCCTCAGCTCCATGCCCAGGGGCAGTGCTGGGGAGGGGGAGAGGGCAGCAGGCTTGATGTCACCAAGCCTTGGTGTCACCGACCCTAGGGACACTGCCACCCTGCCCCAGTGCGAGGCTGGTTGGCACCCCCTGGCCCCCGTGCTCCTCTCACCTGGGCCACGGTGGCGGTGCTGTGGGGGTCGCCGTGAGCTGGGTGGTGTGCGAGGGGACACGGCGTCAGGGCTCAGCCATGGGGCTGGCAGGGCTGTGGTGACACCAGCCGCGGGGTCCCCCTGGGGCAAAACGGGAAGGAGAGGTCAGGATGGGCCCCCCAGCTTGGCACCCCGTGGTCTGCCCACCCCGGACCCTCCAGACTCCCTGGGGGCTAAGGGAATGTCTCCCTGCACCCATGTACCTCCTGCCCAGGCTGAAAGAGCCTTTGTGGGCTTTGCCCCTGGTCCTGGCAGGGAAGCCGGGGGGGGCACTAGCACAAGCCCTGGGTCCAAATGGCCCCTCTGCCCTGTGGGTGCTGCCAGCGATACCTCCATCCCCACAGCGCTGCAGGACGTGCCCTCGGAGCGGCTGGCAGCTGGCACAAAATGAGTTTGCCAGGTCTCAGGCCAGACAGGCACGAAGCCACATCCAGTCCCGCAGCATCTTCCCCTCGGTGCTGGGAGCAGGGGAGGTGGGACCCCCGGAGCTGGCGGGGGTGAAGGCTAAACCCCCCCGCCTCCCCAGCACCAGAGCGGAGCAGAGCCCTGGCCAGACCATCCAGCATCTGCTGGTCATTAGCACTAATTGACAGCAGCCTAATTAGCCAGGCAGCATCGCTCAGGCAGTGCCCCCCTGGGGCCGCTCAGCAGAAGGCAAGACTTTCTCCTTCAAGCCCTCCTATCCCAGCAGGGGCTGCGTGTGGGGCAGAGCCCCCTCCTGCCCCCCAAAACCCACACGAGTGGATAATGGCCCCCAGAATGTTCTGCCCCAGCTGGCTACCATCCCTCGTGGGCACGACTGGAGCAAAAACCCCGGTGCTCCAGGGGCAGGATGGAGCCTCTCGGGGTGTGTGTGTGGGAAACTGAGGCACAGAGCAAGGTCTGGTCCACAGTGTGGCTGGGACAGGGCTTGGCTACAAGCCCCCAGTGGTTCCTGGTCCTGTGGGGACCCATCTGCCCACGGATGCCCCCCATGCCCTGGGGGAGGCTGAGTCATGGTGGGACAGCAGGCTGCCAGCTGCCTGAGAAGAAGGGAGGCATCGCCAGCCCCCCCCAGCCATACCCACAATACCCTGCCGGCAGGGCTGGCCCACGCCCTGCACTAACGAATACCAGGCTAACGAGGCCCCGGGTAGCTCCAGGGGTTGGTAACAGGTTGCACAGCCCAAACGGCCCCCACCCTGCACCCCAAGGCCTCGGGGCGCCAGGCTGGGGGGTGCAGAGGCTGTTTCAGCCCCGCTCCCTGTGGGGAGCAACGGGCTCGGGGCCAGCGGCGGGAGCAGGGCTGCAGCCCAGGGTGGTCCCATGGCACCCAGGGTCCATCCTGGACCCTCTCCCTAAAGAGGGGAGCGCACACCTGCCCAGAGACACCCCTCCGGGCATGTCACATTTCATGAAGAGTTTTGCAAAGCCCCGCGCTGAAAAACTTTTGTTCGAGGGCTTTGCCCTGAGCAGGCTGAGAAAAGTCGGGGGGGATGCACAACCCCACAGCACCTGATGAGAGGGGGGACCCCACCTCGTGGGGCGGCGAGATGATGCCGGGAGCACCCCGGGGAACGTTGCGCCAGGGAGGCGGGTGCGTGGGGAAGCACCAGCGCCGGGCTCTGCCCCGGCCTGTCCTGCCCAGATGGCCCAGGCGGCTCCGTGGGCAGAGACGCTGCCCCTGCCCGGCCTCCTCCATCCACCTCCAAGCCCCCCCTTCCCCAGCTTGCAGAGCGGGGCGAGGGGGGTCCGACCATGCCAGAAGAAGCCAAGCCAAGTCCTCCCGGCAAGGTGGGATCCTCACCGAGGCTGTCGGTGCCACCTTACCCAGTTTTAACTGAAAGGATTTATTAAAAATAAAAACAAACCCGACAAAGACGGAGGCTCCCCCTCCCTCTACCTCACCACTGCCGCTGTGGGTCTGGGCAGCAGCAGGGCCACCCCGAGGCGCGGGGCCTGGCCCCGGGAGGACAAGGATCCTCTGTTCGGCGCCGGAGCTCCCACGAGCCCGGGGAAGAGGAAGAGTCCAGCAAAGCCGCCTTTTTCTCCAGGAAAATAAAAACCTTCCCCCGGCTTCCGCCGCAGTTTCGAGGCGGTTCAATAGCACCGGGCGCCCACTCGCACCAGGCCCCCGGCAGGCGGGAGCAAAGAGGAGGGGGGTAAGGGGGAAGGTCGGGTGTGCTTGCCAGCTTGGGGGCTCAGCAGCCCCGCAGTGCCCGGGCACGCCGGCAGCCCGCAGTGCTGCAGGGCACGGTGCCAGCAGTGCCCAGTGAGGCGCAGCGGGCACACGCCGACCCGGGCAGCGCTGCAGAGCCAAAACCCTGAACCTTTCCCCCCCGCCGCCATCACCCCAAGCTTACTTTG